GAGAGAGAGAGAGAGAGATTAGATTAATATTCAATAGTGATTGGGCGGTTGTTGCTTATTTCGAATTACGAAGACAGAATATTTGCTTCATCAAAAATAAAATATGTTGGAGTAATTAATTCAATGTTAAAGATAAGAATGTGAAGGAAAAAGTTGATAATACAAGTATAAAGGAAATTGCTATATCTACATCAAGATTTATATAAGAGATTACATAATACTCATATGGCACTCTATCATTTGACAATTTAAAATTCAGCTAACTTTTTCATCCATTCTTTTCCCTCTACATCATTTTCGGTAATCGTTTATGTACTATTTTTATATACAAATAACAAAATCCAAGTATAAAAGAAGTAAAACTTAAAAATTTTCTTGTAATTAAAATATTGTGTTACTAATCAAAACTGTGGTGTGAATATAATTATTCATTTTTTAAATAACAAATGATAAAACAAAATTTCCTTTTTTTTTTTTTTTAATAGTGAATACTCATATTCTATTTTCAAGAAGGAATAAGACTATCTTGACAAGAGGGGCTATGTATATAGGAATGTTCCTATTGGCCAAAGGGTCAGGGTCAAGGTTGAGGTTGAGGCCGAGATCAAATTTTATAAGTTTTTCATTAAAATCTTTAAATTGATAAGTCACAAAAAATTGTAATTACGATAATGCCACTTCTATAAAATTATTCATAGATTGATGGAGAGAGAGAGAGAAAAGTAAAGCTATTCCTACATTACTGTGTACAAATGGATAACATGGGAGAGGGATTTTATAATAAGAGCCAATACCAATTTGTGATTATATTAGTTTGTAAGGAAAAATGAGGATAGGCAAGTATGAAAATAATAACAACAATAACCAAATTTCGGGAAAAAAAAAATAACAAGCACAAGAGGGAAATTCACTAATTCAATAATGGAGGATTATGAAGGATTTATCTGGACCAAATTAATAAGTTGGATAATTGTTCAATGTTAATATGTGTTATACAAAGGGATGTTAACGAGTTGAGTCGAGTCGGAACAAGTTTTTTTTTTTTTTTTTTTGCCCTCGGCCAAAATATTAAGGCTCAACCCGAGCTTTTGCCTTGGGCCTTATCGAGCTGAGCCAAGTCGGGCCGAGCTCAATTTCTGAATTTTTTTAATATACCTCTTTGCTGTATTTTAGCTACCAAATAGGCAACTAATTTTTTTTTTTTTAATACTAGCTCGAGCCAACTCCAAAAAATGAGGCTTGGCCCGAGCCTTGGCTTGAGCTTCTTTCTAGCCGAGCCACGAGCAGCCCAAGCCTGATTATCATCCCTAGTTATACATCGCATATTTATAATCAAAGAATATTCGTTAACAATCTAGGATAATATAATACAATAAAGAGCCTAATATAAAGTGGAGTCTTAATAATATAGGTAAAATCAACGATAGAGTATTTGAGTTGAAATGGAAATCCAAACACTGTCAAATCACTAACCTTCTTCTTATCTGCCATGGACTCTTTCTAGACTTTTTCAAATCACACCTCCAACTCCCAATTAAATTTCCAATATAATCCGGCTCACACCCAAAATTCTAACAAATCTTTACCTTGAGACAAATTTTATTACAAGAAACAAAAATTCAATTTTCAACAAAAATTTCCGCCTGAAAACAAATTTCACTACAAGGAATAGAATTTAACTCTTAAACAAAAAATCTCCAACAAAACTCTTCACTTCTTCCACTAAAACCCCTAAGGGCAAACTCAATAAATGTCAACTGAATACAAGCACTACTTTTATCAATAAGATTAACTCGAGTACCAAATTTGCTTGAATTATCACTACGAGCAACAAAGATCATAACTAACTCCGTCCGAATAACAAATTTTGTTCTATTTACCATCATGAGCAACAAGATCATAACTAACTCCACCCAAGTTAATGCTTATCAAAGCGTAAATAACCAAATTTCCTAAAGTCTAGTATCTCTTTTCTTCAATTTAGTGACCGTAGCATCAAATGTGATTATAGAATCCTGTAAGGCATATAACTAGGACCTTCTCTGCCCCTTTATCATAACTCAATCCTTATGTTGCTTCTCCTCCAATGTCTAGACAAAAATCTGGTGTTACGATCCAAAAGTAGGAATATCGAACTTGATACTTGTCGTGTCGAAAAATCAAACCTCGATTTGAATTGATCAAACCTTGCTCTAATACGAAATCGAATTGTTTCTCCTAGGAACTGTTGAACCTAACTCCGATACCGTTTGATAGAAAAAACGAGTCAATACTAATTTGTTATGATATTACTTTGTTACGAAAAACAACAATAGGCAATATGAAAATAATAACAACAAACTCAAGATTTAAGTGAAAACCCAATTTGGGAAAAAAATCACAGGTTGAAGGGGAGAATTCACTAATTAAAAAATGGATGATTACAAATGATCTCTCAATACCAAACTAATAAGTCAGACAATTAGTAAATATCAATAAGTGTTGTACCCTGCATATTATAATTAAAAATAAATAAATAAATAAATCCCCAACACACTAAGAGAATATATAATGAAGAGTCTAATATAAAGTGAAGTCTTAACGTAACAAAAAAAAGCCAATAATGGAATACTTGAGTTGAAAAATGAGTCCAAACTATTGCCAAATCGCGAAAACATTCTCCTTATCCATCTTGATCTCCTTCAAGATTTCTTCAATTCTCACTAACAACTCCCAATTAAATTTCCCATAGACTTCAGGGTCTCAACTAAATTCTAACGAGAGAAAGAATAAAATAAGAATAATATTATCTAACACCGGATGGTGATAGATGCCAATTTAAGTAGCTACACTTTATATGTTTAATTAAATAAATGAGTCATGTGATTTTACACTTAAATGAATATATCATTTAATACCATGTAATTATCATCTGGACCGATAATGATGAATAATATTACTCTTATAATCATCAAGTTTATTTTATTTATTTCTCTCTTTTGTGTTATATATATGTACGGTATTATGTATACAATAATAACATTACTCGAGAAAAAATAATTTGGAATATAGTACTATACTCCCATTGATGGTCACTATTTTGAAAATTATGATGTTTTGGATATTGAATGTGATTAAATAGTTGGAAAAATTTAAGTGCAAATTATTTTTATTGTAAAATTAAATTGAGTTTGAGAATTAAAGAGTTATATTTTAAAAAAAATGATGTAGAATTAAACCATTTTACCAGAAAATGTTGTCAGGTTCTTTGACATATGATTTGTTGATAGAGTATGATTGGATGTAAAAATTTACTGTTTTTTTATAAGATGTTACGTGATATTATGTCAAAAAATGTGACAAATATTTCTAACAATGTAAGGAGGTTGAAATAAAAATATGGGCTATGTCATCAATCTGAATGTCTGCCCCCACTCACGCACCCTCTACGCCCCATATCCAGTTTGCTCTTTCTTAACCATACATACCACTGTTTTTCTCCCTTAACTATTTCAGTTCCTTTTATTTTTCCTTCGCTCTACTACCCCAATTCTAGATCATTTTTCTCCCCGAATTTCTTCCCCATAATCATCGTACTCCAACTAATCCCACTTCCTTTGTAGAAACTAAACAAAGAAACAGTCACTTTCTGAATTTCAATAATATCTGTTTAGAAATTGTATGGTTGCGTGTAATTTTTCGATCAATGAGGATTGATTGTAATTTCTTGATTTGAGTTTCTGTATACGTTCAAGTATGTAGTTGAAGAATCAAAAGGGAAACTTTTTGATCAATTGATTTCTTGGATCCAGGGTGGGGGACGGTGACGTTTTGGAAATTTTGTTTTTGGGAGGTGGAGGATTTTTATCCTAATTGCTGGATTTTCATCGGCTGTAATCTGGGTTTCTTTTTTTTCATCCTGAGCTGCCGTTGAAATTGGAGAAAAGAAATTACGTTGGGGGTGCTATTGGAGTTTGGGGAATTACTGAATTAAATCAATTTCCATGGAGCATGCTGTGGGTGGAAAATTTAAGCTTGGGAGGAAAATTGGGAGTGGTTCATTTGGTGAACTCTATTTAGGTAATTTTTTTCTTTATACATGAGACTTGTTAATTAAATGAGTCTATTTTTATTTTACTTTTGGTCTTTTTATGTTACTGTTAAGGGATTATTGTTCATCTTGTTGGATCATTTATGCATCATTGACACAGGTGTGAACCTACTAAATGGGGAAGAAGTGGGCGTCAAGCTGGTATGCTTATTTATTTATTTATTTATTTTTTTACATCTGTCATTGGTCTTGCTTGTGTTGTTTAAGGTCCAGGCAACTCATTCCCTTGGACTGATTTATTTGATAACGTGTAATGTGTCATGTATAATGGGCTTTTCATTGTATTATCAACATTTGAAGCATTTTTGTATTTTTTTTAATGATACTGGATCTATGGTTTTACTTAAAATTTCTTAACTATATAAAATTTATAATCCTGCATGTAGTGGGAAAAAATAATTTGGATGAAACAAGAATAATAGAGATGCATGAACAAATTTAGTTCAACCTCTCGTTTTGTAGGACAATTAGCGAAGTTTGTCAACCACGGCAACAAACTTTCAGCTTAACAACAACGAAATCCTAACCTGTACATGAAATTTGATCATGGACCATTTTTTTCGTAACTACTACATTTTAGAATGTGAACTTGTATGCTGTGGCAAACTGTGACCAACTTGTAAACACTAAACCTTTCTTTTCTTGATACGTGGAGAAATTAGTAGTCATCACGTGCATCTTTCTTAGTTATGAAGATAATGCTTTTCAATATGACTACTTAGGTTTGACTCATAAAAATCTCTAAACACTCGTGAAGAAGATGCAAGTTATAGCGTAAAACTTGAGAAGATACAAGTTAAAAGTATTTTTTATAAAATTTTATGATAATCACTTATAAATTTATTATTATTTTTTTATTATTATTATTATTATTTTTAATTGTAACTACTGCAATTACCAGGAATCTGTGAAGACCAAGCACCCTCAACTTCACTATGAGTCAAAAGTCTATTTGCTTCTCCAAGGAGGAAGTAAGGCAGTCTCTCTCTCTCTCTCATTTGCAATTCTGGATAAGATGGGAAATAAGTTATGGCTAACAGCATTCTGATTAACAATAGTTTCTATAATTTGATGCTGTGATATTTTTTTTTTCTAGCAGCATATTTCAGCAACCCTTAGCCATTCTCGACACATGTTACATATTTCCGCAAAAATTATTTTGCAATCAAAGGAGAACTGAACCATTAACCTGCTCTTCTAGCTTTATAAACTATGGAGTTAAATGATGATTTGAATTTTGATTTTTTTTTTTTTTTTTTTTTTTTTTTTTTTTTTAAACTTGTACCTTTACGATGATAGGAATACTACTGTTTTGGTTTCTGTTTTATTTCTGTTCCAGATGAAATATGATTATAAAACAATATCTTTTTCCAACTTATTAATCTCTCTGTTGTTGCTTTCCTCTCATCGCAGCGGGAATTCCCAACCTGAAGTGGTTTGGAGTTGAGAATGAATACAACATAATGGTTATAGACCTACTTGGACCAAGTCTGGAAGATCTGTTCAATTATTGTAACAGGAAGTTCTCCTTAAAAACTGTATTAATGCTGGCAGATCAATTAGTAAGGATTTAAACTGTTTCCTATAGACTATGATTCTAGCTGCCAACTGTTGCTAGAATAACCCACCTGCAATTTTACTTCAGATTAATAGAATTGAATACATGCATTCAAGAGGATTTCTTCACCGTGATATAAAGCCTGATAACTTTTTGATGGGCTTAGGACGCAAAGCAAATCGGGTAAGTGTTACAATCATTCATGGTCTTACTCTTTTTTTGAATTATATGAGCATGCTCAAGCTGGTTGTCAAGTATTTTATTTTCAGTTTATCAAATATACCTATTTTTTTGTACCCTGGTATTCATATCCTCCAGGAATCTGGATCCAGCATTTCAATGAGGAAAAGGATGGAAATTTTCTTTATTCTGTCATATATCATAGATTTTGTATTTTTCATTTAATTATAATTATATTGTATAAATTTTGAATTGGAATTCATTTGGGATGATGGTGGTATGTGTTGTCACGACAGTTCCTAGCATTAATTGCAGGTTTACATCATTGACTTTGGTCTTGCCAAAAAATATAGGGACCTGCAGACTCACAAGCACATACCATACAGGTACCTTTTGTGTATGTGCTCACTAGCTTAAAGTCATGGTCTAGGGATACGTATAAAGGTCATGTCATATACCTGATGCTTCCACACAGTTGTTTAGTCATCGCCTTTGATATACTTCTTGTGCTAAGTTCTTAATATTCTTTTGCAGGGAAAACAAGAATCTCACCGGTACTGCTCGCTATGCCAGTGTTAATACGCACCTTGGAATTGGTAAATGATGCACCATATTTTTCTACATTGTTCCTAATCAGAAACAGATGCTGTCTAAGACTTCTATTCTATCTATTTCAGTTTATTTAATTCACGTTTAACTTCGCTTGCAGAACAAAGCCGAAGGGATGATTTGGAATCTCTTGGTTATGTCCTTATGTATTTTCTGAGAGGAAGGTCGGTAGCATACAATGACTTTTAGGCATTTTGTATACCTGTTCTAAATCTTTAGTTAACTATTGTTTAAAAATTTTGCAATTTCTAAAATATTCTACATTTTTTTTCCTATCTCAGCCTTCCTTGGCAGGGACTGAAAGCTGGCAACAAAAAGCAGAAATATGACAAGATTAGTGAAAAGAAGATGTTAACTCCGGTAGAGGTACCCATCACGCTATGTACATATTTTTTTAGGTGATATCCCTGTTCGAAACTTGCATGTTTTCCAAAGCGTGCTTGAATTGCTTCATTGATAACACTAACTTAAATGTCTTGGTACTTAGTACAGTAGATTTGATTAATTTTCCTGCCTTGTAAACCGACCTCAACTCATGATTTACATCTACTTGATTTCCATGCTGATACTAGTCCTCCATATATGAACTCAGTCGATATTTTTCACGTATGATGAAGAGTTCTATTATTATAAAAATTGTGATTTCAACAAATTCATATATAAGATGCATAAAGATTTTTATTTTCCACTGTCTGTATCATTAATTTGATGGAGTTGATTCTTGTTTATTTTCATTAACTATTATTTTCCTCTATTCCTGTATGCTAAATCTTTCCATCGTTTTCATCCCAGCACAACCTCTTTGAATTTGGTGGTCCCCCTTTGTTATATCACTTAGTAGTGACAGTGGCTGAATGTTCACATGATTTTAAAATTTTTTACAGGTATTATGCAAATCATATCCATCTGAGTTCATATCATATTTTCATTATTGCCGATCATTAAGATTTGAGGACAAGCCAGATTATTCTTATTTGAAGAGGCTTTTTAGGGACTTGTTTATTCGCGAAGGTAACAAGTACTAGAACTATGTAATTCTTGTTGAGTTCCTTCTCAAGTACTTTGTATTTAAGCAGGCATATGTTGCAATATCCGCTTCATGACTTGTTATCTCCACAGGTTACCAATTTGATTATGTTTTTGATTGGACAATACTGAAGTATCCTCAGATTGGCACCAATTCTAAAGCAAGAGTAAGTGCTTGCGCACGTTAGAGTTTGTTTCATCTTTTTTCGAGGATAATATACTAATTCATGCCTTTGGTTCCAGAATCCCAGTGGCAATGCAGGGGCTGGAACTTCTTGTGAAAGACCATTAAAAACATCTGGTACATGTGTTTAGCAGAAATAATACCTGAAACTGAAGATTTTTGTGATATCTAAGTGAACTTACGAACTAACTATGAATGAGCTTGAGTGAATCCTTATTTTCTGCATTTTATATGTCCCAAGTACTTAGTTGTTTCATTTTTTTTGGAACTGTTTACATTATTCGAAGTAACATTTCTGTTTTCTTTACTATTTTAATAGTGATTGGTAGATTTATTGATATTCTCTTATGATTTGGTTGTTTCATCTAGTGGGGCAAGATATTCGAGATAGATTCTCGGGTGCTGTTGAAGCTTTTTCGAGGAGGAACCCTGCAGGTTCAGGGCGTCATGGTGAACATTCAAGACACAGGGCATCAGAAGATGCACCTTCATCCAAGGATGTGGTATTTTATCTTTTCCCATTCCCATGATAAAATTAGGTTTCAGAGCATGGTTTGGCTGACCTTTTAAGCATGTAAAACTTTTAAAAAAATTTCTTGTAGCTAAAAAAATTACTTTCTTAGTAATATATTTACAATTTTCAAACTTCTAAGCATAGCCAAACGTGCACTTATTCTAATAGTAAGCTCCCCTTGTGTATCACTTTCTCATGTCAACTTTCTTACCGAAAGGTTTCTTATGATTTCTAACAAGCAGCAACCCGATTTAGAAAGAGTCCAAACTTCTCGAAATGGCAGCGCTTCAAAGAGAGCAGCAATTTCGAGCAGCAGACCAAGCTCCTCTGGTGGACCCACCGAAGGCCACTCAAGTAGATTGATGTCGAGCAGTGGCCGCGTCTCTACAACACAAAGAATTCAACCCGTCATTGAACCTAAATCATCTGCCTTCTCTCGTACTGCAGTTACCAAAGGCACTCACAGTGATCCTCTTCGAAGCTTCGACTTCCTCTCGATCCGGAAGTAAGCCTATGGTTTTCATTGAACGTTGAATTCCAAGTGAAGGAAATCTTTTATTTGCATAAATAGTACTCTTTGTAAATGTGGAATTGTGTCGTATCCCCATTTTGTTTCCTGTTTGTAAGTTGTAATGCATAATTCTCATCCAAGGAAGTATTGAGTTTCATGTGTAGTAATTTTCATCACATGGAATATTTGTTTATAATATGAAACCCTCCATGTTGTCTTTAAAGCACAGAGCCTTTGTTCCTAAAAACCAATGCAGAAAAATCAGGAACGACTATCACAGTAAATGAGCAACAGGCGTCAAAAGTAAGATAAGAAACAGGCGTGAAGAGCAAGATCAAAATTTGATGGTTCTCTTCTTGTGACATTCATTAACAAGTAAAGCTCAGATCAATAAAACAAAAGGCCTTCCAAAATCCTACTACAAAATCTTGACACACGTAACTTGGGTGGACATAACTCTTATGCTGCTGCGGTCTCTTTCTTTAGCTTTGCAAGCTCCTGCCTCACAATGCCAGCCTTCTGCAGCATCAAAATGTTAGTTGATCAGCACCACCAGCAGTCAAATGTTAAAATTGTAAAGCAAGTATTGGGTGCACAAGCACATTATATAGCAACATACACTGGAAACTATTACAGTAATTATTTGATCACCTAAGTATTAGATTGTAATTTACGATAAAAGCTAGGAGAAATTAGTTTTTTGCAGCATCTACTGCGTGAAGTATTACTTCCGTTCACTTGGAGATAAATTATTTAAATGGGTGTGTTATTCAACATCATTTAAGTGGCGTTTCTGTTATTTGTTCTCCACATTTCTTCCAAAGGATATTAGGGTGCGTTTGGTAGGGCTTCTACTTTTACTTCAGTTTCTCTATGGAAGCTACCATTGGCTAGCATCTACCGCTCGAAGTAGTACTTCCCTTTTATCTATTCTCAGAGAGCGCACACAATAATTAATATAAAAGGTACTCTTGTCAAGACAATTCCGACCTTGATTTTTGCCAACATCAGCTTGAACCTGTCGAAATCATTTAGAGAGGCCCTTCTCTTCTGCACAATCAACTTCCTCCCCCAGGAACTGTGTTCCCATTTATTCTTGACATCTGCAAGATAAGGTCATAAAGTATCATTTCACAGAACAATATAACCAATGCAGAGTGAGGTATTCTAAATTTAACACCAACCAGCAGTTTCCATAGCAGCAATAAGAGTCTTTTTCTTCGGAACCCTTTTGATGTCAATCTTTATGTCAGTAAGAGAAAGCCTCTTAAAGTTCATTTGGCTCCTAACCATGTCCGGTGAATCCACTAGAGCCTATTATTAAGCAAACGGTTTAAAATGCATAGAGTCAGGCAAGATTCATTTCATTTTACGAACACAAAAACAAGATTGAAGAACCATAATGTCAGTTCTTATTGGATTTTATCAACAACACTGGTATAAGATAAATTATAAAGAACATGCAGCAAAAAAGATTCATGAATTTCAGTTCTTTAACCAAATTACGAGTGCAAACAGTTAATATAGTCCAAATCCAATAATCAAATCTATTGAAAAATGTATTATTCCAAATAACATAGTCAAATCCACTAACTTATATCCACACAGTGCAGCAAAGATTGCTGAAAAAACAACAATGCGAATGACATAAATAACAGAAAGTGACCTAGATTAAACACAAAAGAATCCAATTAAATGAACTAAAAGCATAAATGCATTTAACGCATAAATCAAAGGAAAATATTGTTAGACATACCCGGTTCTGGTCGATGACATCAACGATGACGACAAGCTGGCCATATTCTTTGCCGTAGTTGACAAGGGCCACTCTTCCTATCTCAACATACCTCTTGAACGGCTACAAACAAGAAACGACCCAAAAATCATTTACATTGCAGAGAAATTGAAACTTTCTAAACAAATGTATACAGAGGGATCGTATAGAAAATGATCAAGGGCATAAATTTTTTGAGGGCCTCACCATTTTCGGGGAATCTCTGCGTGAACTGTGTGCAGGGAGAGGCTGGAGATGTAATTGACAGTTTAATTTACGATTTGTAATGGAGTTATAGCATTGCTAGGGTTTTGGAGGAAATAAGTGAAAATGACCCTTTCACCGTCCTTATTGACTTTGACTGATTAAAAAAAAAAAAAAATACAATTTAAATACATTTTTTTTCAAAAATACCTCTCCATCTTCCTCTCTCTCTCTCTCTCAACGGTTTGGAAAGGAAAATCATATTCACTGACAGTCGATCGTCCATACATCTCCTTCACCAAAGAACTTTCGGTTGCCGGCTTATAAGAGTTGTAAATGTTAGTTTTTTGGAATTATAATTTCATTATTGAGTTTTGTTGAGTTTTACTTAGATTATTGATTGGAATATGATTTTTGTGGCATGAAATGCATGATTTATGTTAGACTTGCCTATAGATGAAGTGTATTGGCCAATTTTTGGTGTTTGGGGAGCTTCAAGTCGTCGAAATGGTGGAATCCGACGAGTGGAGAAGTTTTTGCTGTTGCAGGTCGGCTGGCTGTCAATAGGCAGTCGGTTTATTTTTATTTTTTTATAATATTAAATTTCCTAAATTAAATTAAATTAATTTAGAATTTATTTTCAAATTAATTATTTAATCAGAATTTTGACTTTTTAATTTTAATTTTTAATTTTATTTGAAATTTTATTTTTCATTTTAGTTATAATTTTAATTTAAAGAAATTGTTATTTTAAAATTAATTTTAAAAATACTTTTTTAATTTTAATTTCAATTTTTTATGTTAAATTTAATTGTAATTGTAATTTTATTTTAAATTTACATTTTTTAATTATAATTTTAATTTAAAGAAATTTGTTATTTTAAAATTAATTTCAAAATAAATTTTTAATTCTAATTTTTAAATTTAATTTTAGTTTCTAATTTAATTTTATTTTAAATTTAAATTTTCATTTTCATTTTAATTTTAACTTAAAGAAATTTGTTAATTTAGAATTTATTTTTAAATTAATTACTTAATCCGAATTTTGACTTTTTTATTTTATTTTAAATTTAAATTTTCATTTTAGCTATAATTTAAATTTAAAGAAATTTGTTATTTTAAAATTAATTTTAAAATTACTTTTTTAATTCTAATTTCAACTTTTTATTTTAAATTTAATTGTAATGGTAATTTAAATTTTATTAATAGTTTTGGATGATATTCTTTTCATTCATCAAATTTAATTAATTTTTTAATTGTAATTTGAAATAATTGTTGGAAATTTAATATTTATTTTTATTATTAGTTTTTGATAAATAATAATTTATTTATTGTCGAATTTAAATAAATTTTTTACTTTTAATTTTATTAATAGTTTTGGATGATATTCTTTTCGTTCATCAAATTTAATTATTTTTTTAATTGTAATTTGAAATAATTTTTGAAAATTTAATTTGAAATTTAATATTTATTTTTATTATTAGTTTTTGATAAATAATATTCTTTTTGTTCATCGAATTTAAATATTTTTTAAACTTGAATTGATTAAAAAAATATTGATAATCGGAAAAAATTGACATTATTGATAATAGGATAAAAAAATTTATATTATTGATGATTTTAATTATTATGAAGCTGCATCTTGCGTATTGTAGTTACAATTTCGTTATCTAATTTTTCTGTTATTATACTTTATTCTATTATCACTTGTACAATGTTATAACATTTTGAATTTTTACAGGATGGATTATCATTTTGATACAGAGTTGAGACAGATGCCAAGTAAAGTTACGTGGAATAGTAGCTTTGACAGTTTCACTGCTGTTTTAGAGCTACTCGATGATCAGCATGCAGATATGCTGCGTCAGTCTTTCCTGTGGTGCTTGTACCCATTGAAAGATCTGCAGTACTCGGGTCAATTAGTGATTCACTTCTATGTCGATTGCTGAGTTCAGTTGACGACGATGCCCTCTACTTCGCAGTTGGTGGTAAAGTCACCAGTTTTTCGATGTTCGAGTTTGCTCTGATCATGGGATTAAAGATTACGGGCGATGAAGCAGCTGGTGATGGGACTCAGAGAAGAAATAGGCTTCATGACACTTACTTCGAGAGACAAGGAACTGTGCTTCTTACACAGTTGTTCGACGCAATCAGGAGGTGTGATCAGATGTTAGACAAACTAAAGTTAGGTTTGGTCTATATCCTTGAGAGCGTGGTGCGGTGTCACCACAAAAAGACTACGATCGACCTCTTCCATCTGGAGATCGTTGACAACATCGATAGTTTCAACGACTATTCGTGGGGCCGGAGATGTTTTGATGACATCATACACGTCTTCACTAGATCGCACTCGAAGCCGAAGGGAGCCATGCGTAAGTACGACACCTATGGATTGCCCCTGACGGTGCAGGTAAATGGTTAATATAATGAATGTTAAAATTATTCTCATATTAAATTTGTATATAATAATTGTATATATTGCAGATCTGGGCGTATGAGACCGTCCCCCTATTGGGTGCCCGCTTTGCGAGGCGAGGGAAAACACGCTGCCCTCGGATGCGCCATTGGAGAGCATCTCGATTAGAGGCACTGGGAAACAGTTATTAGCTATCCTCGACGACCCCTCAGGTGAGTATTATGCATTTGTAATTATATTGTGCGTGATTTAACATCTGATTACATGATCGATAACTAGTTTAAATGTCAATATGTCAGCTTGAAGTCATAACTGAGTTGACGCCGTCGATGAAGGAGGAGGCTTAGGGTCTTGTGCGTGAATTAGACGTTTCGCATACCCAAGATGACCAGATGTCCGATCCGATCCACGACCGAGATTGGGTGAGTGAATTGAATAAAATCTATTGATTACCGTTTTGTATGAGTTAACAATTACGGATTAAGTTAATAATTTGTAATGTTGTTGCTTGTGTAGGAGCGTGATCTAGTTGATCGACGATCACCTCTACCGGGGGCATCACCACTTCCGCCGAAAGCATCTCTTCCACCTCCCCACTCAGAGACCTTTCCCGTGGATCTCTCGCACATAGTTAGGAGTACTATTTTGATGATTTGTATGCCCATCTGAGCATATTTATAGCGGAGTAGGTCGACAGGCTGCGTTGAGAGATGATAGAGAGGGTTGACGATCTGGGACGACAGTTGGTAGGAAGGGTCGAAGATTTGTCGAATGATGTTAGAGTGCTGCATGGCCATTGTGCGGACCTTGAGGATGAGATTGTAGCAATTCGAGGTGATATAGCCGGTAGGCGATGGGTTGACGGAGACGGTGATCGGGGAGGTGATCGAGAGGGTGATAAAGATGGGGGTCTTCGATAGTCGTACATGCATGATGATGATGCATGGGAATCATTTATGTTATCCGTGAAGCGCGATGGGACGGGAGCAGTGGCAAAGGAGGGGGCCCATCAGGGAGCGAGACGGTGGCAGATGAGGGGATGGAGGAGGTGGAGAGCCCTGGAGTGGAGGAGGTGGCAGTGTATAAGGTAAAAAAGCATGATGTTGACATGCCGGAGATGGTGGTCGGCAAGACGTCTAGAGTGCCATCACAGTACGTCGTCTTTCCCTTCATAGCTGATGCAAAGAGGAGGAGGTTCGTCGACAGGACGTACCCTAATTTGTTCCGGGAGGTCGACCATGCCAAATGAAAAATATTCGAGGCTGAGTGACGAAGAATGTTGCCCGGATAAGTATTGTATGATTTAGCAGACTACCAAAACTCGTATATACTTCGTTTAATATTTTTTCTATTTTATTTCCAGAGCCACGTACATGATAGCCGGAAGGACGATATTGGACGTATACAAGTGGTTCCATGATATCACCACGCAGGGGGCTTGGCTCGTCGACGATGTAAGTGAAATGTTATTGTTACTTTTCGTATACATTATGTTTAATTTGGTAAATGAAATAAGTATCTATGTCTTTATTTTCCTTGATGTAGCACATCGATATGGCCATGGACTTGTTGCACGATCGAATTGAGAGATATCCACAATCATTCCATAAGCCGAATAATACCGAACACCGAGTTCTTTCATTCCATTACCATTGAGTATCAGTAGCTCCAGCTTCTAGGTAACGAGTACATGCTTTCCGCGTATATGCTCGAGTGGGTCATCGGGCTGTCACTGAGTGTTGGGGAAA